TATTGATTATACCTTTATCTAGTCTATTGGAGCCCAGGGATTGAGAACTGGATTATAATTAGTGTTTATAAACTGGTTTATAATTAGAGTATCAAGCCAATCTTCCATTCCTTTCTGATACCCTGTTTCATACTGTTCCTCTCCCACAATTGGTTGCTGCCCCAGACTGCTGCTAACACAAATGCTTACATCAGTCCTTGAACTTCCACCTTTATGCATTTTTAACCAGATAATAATTAGAATTTTTGTTTTACTACAAAAGAGCAAATTTTTCATCCTTGCCTATGAAAACTGTTTCTCTGTGGCTGTCCTCAAATCTCAAGTTTATTTATATATTTATCTAACTTGCATTCCCTATAAATGTATTGGCTAACCTGAATTCTTACTAGCACTCAGCAAACCAAGGCCAAGTTTATCCTGACTAATAAACTAATACTATACTACAATCTAATATTATCGGTTCCTGTTGCAAAAATAAGAAAATGATTAACTAGAAAGTAAATATGAAAACCCTTGACAACGATATCCCATGCCATCAATTCTTTACTTCCTTGTATTTTACATTGTCCTCAATAAAATTCTAGCATCTGGTGTTAAGTTAGTCATTTGTGTTTGCCTATTGTTTCTCATCTGTAAAATGCTCCCAGTGCTGAGAGCCACATAGATGTTTCGGGGCACAATCTGGGTTTGTATCTATTCTATATTCTCAATATGGCACATCTAACATACTGATTCTTAAAATCCACATTAACCTTGACTTTGTAATGCCAGAAATATCCACACCACCCAAATCTCAGGTCATGTCCTTCTATTTTTTTCTTCCCTGTAAGATAGAGTTATGTTTTGTAAAGATTGTAAAAGTTCCTCCATAAATCATTTATAATAAAAACATTAATATCATCTGGTTCAGGCACCTTTCTTGGTTTAATTTTTTTTATAACTTCAAAACATCCTTTATTTTTATAGGTGAAGGTACCTGGCAGTCGAAAAAAGTGTTTATGGTTTTGAACATTGTAAAACTGAGTTTGAAATACAGTTGTGTGCAAATGTTGAATATATATTTGTTAAAATGTATAAACTTGTATTGAAATTTGAAACAGAAGAAGAACAGGTGAAAGAATGTATGATAAAGTGAGCTAAAATTTGGTCATAATATACTGATGAATTAACGGAAAAAAATTGTGGCTGAAAGTACTGAAATTTACACAAGGTTATAAACAGAATTTTTTATAAAATGATGTACCATCGGTATATGTCACCAGAAAAAATGTCTAGAATGTATAAAGACGTTTCAAATGTATGCTAGAAATGTGAACAAGAAGGGACATTTGATCATGTTTGGATTCACAGATGGATTTAAACAATTACATATTTAAACAATATACAATTAAACTAGAGGTTTTTCTTTGGAATTGAGGACAAACAGTTAGAAAAAAGTCATGGAACTTTGTTTTTCTACATGATAAATGCAGCAAGATTACAGGTAAGCCTCAACTTTTGATAATACATTTAATCCAAGGACTTGATTGAGTCTCAGACCTGGCAATCTGCCCCTCACCTGCCCACCTGTACATTCTTAGCTTGCAAGCTATACAAAAACAGGCAGCAGGCCAGATTTGGCCTGAGGGCCACAGTTTGCCGACTTCTAATTAGAGAGCTACAGCTTCTCTATCCTATAAAGTTTAATACGTTTTTTTTAAAAAAAATAACTAAGCATAATTTCTTACTTTGTAATAGTTGATTGCAGGCAGTCCTTGTTTAGTGACTGCCTCATTTAGCGACCATCTGCAGTTACAGTGGTAATGAAAAAAGCAACTTTGTGACTTTTATGGCCTTCCCAGGTCCATAAAACAAGAGAAAGCTGAGGCAAGATCATTAATACAGAAGAAAATGTATCTAATTCAAAGTATTCTGAAAAATATGGCTTCACTTAGCAACCTCTTGAACAGCTTGGAGGTCCTAATTGTGGACACTAAATGAGGACTGCCTATAGTATGATGCTAGCAAAAAAAAAAAAAGTAAAACCATGCAGAATTAAAGCCAAGCCATACCTGCAAAAAATGGAAATCATTTCCCTGGAAAAAAAAACCCTGCCACCCATTGTCTATTCTATGGGGATTCTCAGTTTTCCAGGTCAGGGTTGTCTCAAAGGTGCTTTTTCAAGAGGCAACTGGACTTTCTTTGTTTTTCCTTGAAGACGTTTACCTTCTCATCCAAGACGCTTCTTCAGCTCTTCTTCAGCTCTTGAAAAAAGCATCTTTGGGACTTGCCATCCATTTTTGATGAGTTCCAGGCACAGGCACATCTTTTGAGTCAGTTGCTTGAGAAAACTGTGAAGAACCTGTGGTCCTCTAGGGAGGACTTTGTTCACTTGTAACTAACTGTGGCAGAAACATGACCTAGCAACCTCTTTTTTTCTGCTCCGTCCTCTTAAAATCAACACCATCTGATCACCAGCTCAGCCATGAGGCAGCCTTAGGTCATCTATAACTGCCCAGTTTTCAAGTACAGTAGTGCTTTCCCCTTCTCAAACCAGATTTTATCATGGATACAGTTGACAAGCTTCACCAAAGTCAAGCCACCTCTCGTAAATGCAATCAATGTGGCTTCCATTGGTCACTCTAGGCTGATATGGATACACGCCCGTCTTCTCTCTGACTGTTAGGCACATGGCCTTTTTCCTTTTGGCATTGGGAAAATGCAGTTGTTTCAAAACAGTTTCTTTCTTGTACTCAACAGATTGGAAACTCAAATTAATCTGGATTGATTAACAGCAGGGTTAATACTCTCCTGGAATAATATGAAAGTTATGTTCAAAAAGAACCTGACTATTTATTTATTTAGCTTATGGCATCTACAGAGCTCATGCAATCACTGATGTACAAATTTAGTTTAAAGCACCAGCAAATATATATGTTAAATATATATATTAAAAGCTGTCCATCTTAATCGCCATTCTTCATCTAGTCCAGGGGTATCAAACTCAATTTCATTGAGGGCCGCATCAGCATTGCAGTTGCCCTTGGGGGGGCGGGGGGGGCGGCCAGGGTGGGTGTGGCCTACTGGGTGGGCATGGATGGAGTGGGTGTAGCCTACTGGGTGGGCATGGCCAGCTTTACATCGTTTGCATCAAGGGTGCCTGTGGGGGCCTGGGCAGGAGTGGGACAGATCTGAGGGTCTCTGGCAGAAGGGGGTGGGACCAGGGCAAGTGCCAAAGCACGGTCCATTTCTTCATTCCTCACAAAGGGTGACACCTCCCCGGCATGCACCCAGGGGGTGGGGGCGACACAGCAGAGGCTGGTTCCTCGCTGTTTCTAGACGGCCTTGTGGAGCTAAGACTGAATGCATTTCAGCATAGATGGCCACCACAAAATTGTACGTTGGCTCCCGACTGGCCTGGACTAGGGCCAAGGCAGCGGGGGCTGTTCCCTCACTGTTTCCAGGATGGCTTCACAGGCCACATGAAACCACTTCGCGGGCGGCATCTGGCCCCCAGGCCTTGTGTTTGAATGTCTGATCTAGATTGTAAGACTGTGGTATGTTATCTCAAAGTGGTTTCCTAGACTTAAGCCTGGTGAGAGGTAGAGAGCCTAATGTTTTGTTTTGGAAGATCTCTAGGCATCAATGACATATTTATCTTATTCCACTCTCCAACTGTCAAAAGAACCTATGAATGAATATACTTGTGCAAAAACACACAACATATTAGATGGCTAACTCCCGTAGTCTTGCTGTGGAAACCGCACCATATTGCGGTGGTTCTCCTCCTACCTCTCTGACAGGTCGCAGTCGGTGTTGGCGGGCAGACAGAGATCGACCCCTAGGCGCCTCAATCATGGGGTGCCTCAGGGCTCAGTCCTGTCCCCCCCCTCCTTTTTAACATTTACATGAAACCGCTGGGTGAGATCATTCGGCAACACGGGGTGAGGTATCATCAGTACGCGGATGATACCCAACTGTATATCTCCACCCCGTGTCCTTTCAGTGAAGCAGTCGACGTGATGTGCTGGTGCCTGGAAGATGTGAAGGTCTGGATGGGGGTGAACAGGCTTAGACTCAACCCTGACAAGACTGAGTGGCTCTGGGTCTTGCCTCCCAAAGGTCAACTGGATGGTCCATCATTAGTCCTGGGGGGGGGGGAATTTACCTCCCTCAGTGCAGGCACGCAACTTGGGTGTCCTCCTGGACTCACAGCTAAATTTGGAACAACATCTATCGGCTGTGGCCAGGGGGACCTTTGCCCAGGTTCGCCTGGTACACCGGTTGCGGCCTTATTTGGACCGGGAGGCTTTACTCATGGTCACTCATGCCCTTGTCACCTCAAGACTGGATTACTGTAACGCACTCTACATGGGGCTACCCTTGAAGAGCGTTCGGAGGCTGCAGTTGGTTCAGAATGCAACCGCGAGAGCGATTGTGGGCGCGCCAAGGTACGCCCACGTGTCACCTATCCTCCACGAGCTGCACTGGCTTCCTGTGGGTCTCCGGACGCAATTCAAGGTGTTGGTTATCACCTTTAAAGCCCTTCATGGCATAGGGCCAGGTTACTTACAGGACTGCATACTGCCGCACAGTTCCCAGAGACCGGTGAGGTCCCATAGATTGGGCCTCCTTCAGGTCCCGGCGGCCAGACAATGTCGGCTGGTGGGCCCTCGGGGAAGGGCCTTTTCTGTGGTGGCTCCGACCTGGTGGAATCAACTTCCCCCCGAGGTTCGAATTACTCCCACCCTGCCAGCCTTTAAGAAAGCCATTAAAACTCTCCTGTTCCGGCAGGCCTGGGGCTGATGTCCCGGGGGGGGGGATATGATCGGACACGCTGTATGAATGTATTTATTTTATTGTTTTATTGTTAGATTATTGTTTTAATTTTGTACGCCGCCCTGAGTCCCTTGGGATTGGGCGGCATATAAATTTTAGAAATAAATAAATAAATAAATAAATAAATAAATAAACTCATCTCCTTTCCAAGCCCTGGACAAAGTTAAAGGAGGGAGGGAAGTGGTAGGCAAACAAAGTTGAAAAATGTGCCAAATCATATTCTTATTTATACTGTAAATAAAGACAGTACCACAATTTTAGGCTAGTGTAGTTTTCTACCAGCACAGGCACTTGTGGACAGCAGTTGGATGGAGCTAGAAAAATGTATTTCCACCTGCATTGTATGAACAGATGTTTCCTGTTGACTGTCTTGAAACTCCACTATTCAACTTCGTTGGAAGACCTCAGGCTCCAGGATTAGCAAAGACAGAGAAATGCTTTGTGTCTCGTTCTACTTTCTGATCCTCATATCAGAGGCAAGTAAGAGAATTTGGGAGGCTGGTCATAGTGCTGATGGATACAACATAGCCATGCTGCTGGGGATGAGGAAGCTTGGGTAAGATACCGTCTTGGCGCATGAAAATAGGCACATCTCTGAGTAGTTACTATTGCCTTCCTCCTTTACCTCCTGCCTTCCTATTTCTTAACAGGCACCTTTTGTTTCTTTCCTTGTACATTTAAAAGCATTTGGAGGCACTGCAGAACAAATTTACCATTGTCTGTGGTAACTTCTCTTCTCCAGAAAGTATTTGAGGAAGGAGGAGGGGCAGAGAAGAAAGTGGGAGGTAAGGCAATATCTCTGATGATTTTTTTAATGTTATGTAGATGCTGAGATTAGGAACCCCCCCCCCCAAATGATATAGACTTAGTGGCACTAATCTGTATAAGACTTTTAGGCCAGAAGTCAAATGTTCTAATTCCATGTTTAAATTCCCAGGAAGAAGATCCAGCTTTTTCCTATCTTCTATTCAGTAATTTCCTTCCATTTTCCCCCCTCTTTCCTATCTTAGTATCTACATTGGTGTAGTTGGTGGAGAAGGACTACATCAAGAGCGGAGAATGCAAGGGAAAGGAGCCATAGTAATCTGATTCATCTAAAAGTTTTAAAATAAATGGAAAATCTATTGCCAATCTATCTCCGTCAACAACTGGGCAGTATATTTGTACGGTAGTTTCAAAGGAACCGAACCTGAAAGATCACACTGAAAGTAAAATGAACTCTTTGTGTGTTGCAATAGATTACAAGGAGCTATTTCATCAACAATGAAGAAAAGAGCCTTTTTCAAAAACATCCTGGTCAGTGCTGCAGAGCATATATAATAGAAATCCATTAGAATCCATATTTTTATTCACGTCTCCCCTCCCCCTCCCCATTTGTAAGTCTCATAGCTACTGAGTAATTTTGATAAAATATGGGCAGTCCTTGACAACATCCTACAATTTGAAGAGGTTGTTGAGAATCAGCAGATGATGCAGACCAAGGCCCTGGTGGTGACTTTATGTGTAATTGCTTAACACTAGGCCTCATAATCAGCACAGACGCTTGATTCCTGTCAATTTTCCTTGGAATGAAGCCCCATTTTATTCAATGGGGCTTCCTTTCCAGAAAATGCACAGAAGGCTGCAGACTAAGCAAATATGCATACGAAGATGCTTAGTCTGCAGAATGGATGTCACAGAGCAGAGCTTTATTTGCATTATCTTGAAAAGATTCTGGGTTTGTTTTAGCACAGATTAGTGCTCTTTATATTTATTGTACATAGCACTTTCTAGTTCATCAGACGAGGGAGCCGAAAGCTGATGCTCTGACCCATTCAAGCAGGTCTAAATCAGTTCAGGTGCTGCAAATATTTTAGGGCTGTCAAAAAAAAGAAAGAAAAGAAAAAAAAAGGATTAGATGGGGAGAATTGTGGTAGGAATTGTCTTATGTTAAATTTAGACCCATCAGGATACTGGTTAGGAAATAAAGGGCATGTTGGGTTAGGGTGCAGTCACATCAAATCTAAGCTTTTCTAATTTCTTTCTGTCAGTAGACAAAAACATTCTTATGGAGGCAGGCTTTTGATGGATAAGCCATTTTTCTGTTGAGTGTTGGGTGGACATTGACAGTTCTTGTTTTTTAAACGATGTTTTCATTAAGTCTTTTAACTCTAGTTTTAATTTGCTTGATTTTTGCTTGCCTTCTATTATTTCTAACTGCTCTGACTAATGGAAAGTGCTCTCTCTCTCTCTCTCTCTCTCTCTCTCTCTCTCTCTCTCTCTCTCTCTCTCTCTCTCTCTCCCTCCCTCCCTCCCCCCCCTCTCTCTCTGTGAAATACATCAGCTAAATAAAGCTTCACTCACAGATCCAAGGACCAGCAATTCTTACACTCAAAACCGAATGAGGGTATATGACCAAGGAGAAATGTGTGTACCTGTCTATAAAAGGTCAATATTTCGGAAAGGAGAAGCAAAGATGTGCATACATATCTGTCTGTTAGATCACAAGATTTGGCTATTCCTCAGGAAGTCTTGTGAGTCTGAATAATCAGGCCTTTAGTTTCAGGTAGCAAAGGCAAGTTCTGATGTGTCCAGCCACAACCACACAGGGCTGCAGATTCAAGTGTTCTCAGACCTCTCATGTTTGCCCAGGTTCCAGGCCTATTTGTGGGACTTATTCAACTTTTCCCAATTTAGTACAACAGCTAAAACTTCCAAGTCCTTGTTAGACCTTTCAAAAATATCAGTTGGTTAGGTGCTGACCCTGGTCCTTATTTCCTGATTGATAATGCCAAGGTTTCTTCTTTTATTAAAAAAAAGCTACCTGATAGCCCATCAATTCATTCAACTCCAGCATGTCTGTTCCAAGAACAGACCACTTGCAGCCTGAGAACTGCATGCAGCTCCTTGCTCCTGCAGTCCCTGAGATGAAATTTGAAAAATCATTGGCACCATTTTCCATTAAAAAAAAAAACCACAAACACACAAAATAGATATGCTAAAGCTTCACTAGATTTAAGTCTTCTGTTTTTATTTGATAAAATAGACCTCAAAAACTAGGCCAGAAAGTCCGCCGCTACAATATCCTCCATCGACATTATATCCCTGTTACGCATCTTATCAAAACAAAAGCAAAGCCCATATTTCCTGTTCTGAATAAAGCCAATCTTTTCCTAAAGAACATGGAGGAATCAGGATGAAAGAAAAATGGAAATTATAAAGTTTCTGATCAAAGCCCATCAAGACCTGTGCAAAGGTCTTGCATTTAGAGAAAACATCTAATAGGAACAAACTGTGACACGATATGATGCACTAATTAAAAGAAACCTCATTATCTGGACATGAATAGATGTAGTTAGGGTAAGCAGGGACCTTTGTCCTCTACTCCGATACGAAGATCTCACTCCCTGCACTTCTACTGCTCTCCACCACCATTCCTATTCTGCTTGGCTGAACTCACATTCAAAATGCAGGTCTGCCGCCATCACATTTAGTTCTGCCCTCAAGAAAAGGACAACAGCCTGAAGGAAGATCGATCTGACTGAGACTGGCAGTCCTTTTTGTTCTTCAGTGAGCCGGCACAGCACCTTCTCTTGGGACAGCGACTGGTGCTAGAAGATTGCAGAAAACTAAATAGCTTATATAGGAACATCATTAATCTAACTAAAGTGATCTGCTATTCTGTAATAAAATATACTCAGAAATGACATGACTAATTGAATGGGAGCAGGAATAAATCAAATAAAAGCTGGTTGGAGGAAGAAAGAACCCAAAAGGCCATTGTCTCAGATGGGAAGAGCCCTGGGAAAGAAAAAGGATGAAGGATCTCAGGACAGCTGGGGAAACAGCACTCTCTCCGGGATCCCCATATTGCTGTTCCTCGGTGGAGGGAAGGAGCTAGAAGGGGGAAAGAATGTGGGACTCCCAGAAGGGATTCCAAAGGATCTTGGCAATTTTAAATCCCCGTGCCCCTTAACATTGCCTGCCAATTCCTATGTACCAGATGCTATTCAGAACCTACAGTAGACAGCAGACCAGGCTTCAGTTGGCAACATTCATTTCATGGGAGACTGAAAAATGCTAAGACCATAATATTAATAGTAACCTTTAGCATTTTTTGTGGGCTTGACAGATCAGTCTGATTAGGGCTCCCTCTTGGATGGAAGATAGACTTACCATCGCCAAATGTCATTAGCTGGTGGTACTCTAATGCATGTCCACTGGCGATGCTGTGGGAGGGACAGTTTCACAGATATGACAAACATCTCTAGCAGGGCTCTCCAATCCTGGTCCATGGACCGGTACCGGGCTGCAGCATGCCAGCAACCAATCCGCACAAGCAAGCAAAGTCTCATCCATGGGATGAAGGAGCACATAAACTCTCCGGTCCGCAGAAGAACTTTCTCCATGGAACCGGTCCCTGGTGCCCAAAAGGTTGGAGACCTCGGATTTATAGGACTCTAAGTGTTATGTCCCGAGCCTTGCAAACGGCTCGGGCGTTTGCAGGCAGTCCCGGGCAGGTGCAAAGCTGCCCGGGACCAGACAGGCTGTCGCCAGCGCCGTGCGCATGCGCGGGTGCTGGCGCGGGAAAAGTAACCCATTTACCCGGGAGTTGCCTATATAAGAGGCTGCGAGGCGTTTGGGCGAGGCTGAAGCCATCTTCCTGTAAGCTGAACGCTGAATAAAAGAAACTGAGAACTCCAGCTGCTTCTCGTGTCTGTTTTCCCGCCACGGACTCAACACTGGCGACGAGGATGGGATGCCTTGCACTACCTGGAAAGGAAGAAGTGTAAGCTTACCCAAGGAGTCCTGAGCGGCGGAAGAGGAACGGCATCGACTCGGCAGCTGCCCGCCAATCCGGTGCGCATTCGGGGGTAGGCTGGCTGATAGACCCGTCTCCTGAAGATCCGAAGATGGCGAAAATCGGAAGGCTTTCGGAATTCGACGTCTCACATCCAGAGCGGTGGGAGTCCTACGTATCCAGAATGGAGAACTACTTCAAGGCAAACCAAGTGACGGAAGATAGCTTGAAGGCTGCCACCCTGCTTTGCGTTTGCGGCCAAGACGCCTTCGAAATCGCAGAAAACCTTGCAGCACCTGTCCCAGTAGAGTCTGTAAGCTACGCAGACCTGAAGAAGCTGCTGAAGGAGCACTTCCACCCCAAGGTGTCCGTTATCTCATGGCACCACACCTTCGAACAGAGGGATCAACGGTCCGGTGAGTCAGCCAAGGAATACATCGCCGCGTTACGGAAGGCTGCCAAGCCCTGCGAGTTCAAGGACCTCGAGGAACGACTGAGGGACCGATTCGTGTGCGGGTTAAGGCATCGAAAGCTACAACAGAGACTTTTCGCTAAGGAAGAATTATCCTTCCAAGACGCCTTAAGGGAAGTCACCGCAGAAGAAGCAGCAGGCGGCGCCGTCAAGAACATGCGGCCGATCAGAAGCAGTGCAGAGGGTGCGTCCGTGCACCAGGAAGACGTCCAACGAAACTCCGAGGAGGATCCGGATGAGGAAGTCGACCGTCTACACCCCGCGAAGGAAGAAAACCAGAAGGGAAGCTCTTCGGCTCCGCTCAAGTGCATCGGCTGTGGAGGTCGCCACAGGAGAACCGACTGCAAGTTCCGCTCCGCTACCTGCCGGGCATGCGGCAAACAAGGGCACATTGCAGCTGTGTGTCTGGGCCGACGAAAGGCACAACCCCAAGAAGAACGCCTGAAGGGTACCAGATTCCCCAGCCAGAATAGGGTAGGTTTTTGCGCTTCGCGAAGAAGCATCTGTAGGACAGGCACACACAAGCCCATGAAGAAAAAGCTGTCACTCAACGTGAAGCTACAAGGGGTTCCATTATCTATGGAACTAGACACAGGGTCTGCCCTTTCCATCATTTCATTGCATACATTTAGGAAGATTTGTTCCAGTAGTGGGACTAAGGCCAAGTTAAGGCCTTCTGATATTGTATTAACAGATTTTCAGAACTCAAGAGTGTGTGTTAAGGGGGAGGCCACCCTTAACGTGCAATACAAGAGTTTTGAAGGTCCACTAGACTTATTAGTAGTAGGGGGTGAACGAACGAGTCTCATAGGACTCGATTGGTTTGAGGCCCTGGGGATACACGTCACAGGACTCAACAGCTTACAAACACTCGACCTACAGGAAGTCTGCAAAGAATTTGCAGATGTTTTCAGCCCCCAGCTGGGCACATTCAAAGGACCACCTGTGTCCTTAAAGCTAGACCCCACTGTCACTCCCATTAGGATTAAAGCAAGAAGGGTCCCTTTTGCTTTAAAAAGTAAGATTGACACTGAACTAGACAAACTAATCCAACAGGGAATCCTAGAACCTGTTGATTCCAGCCCGTGGGAGACCCCCATTGTCACGCCTCTAAAGGCAAATGGGGACATTCGCATTTGTGCTGATTACAAATGCACACTCAATAAGGCATTGCAGCAACATGCCTATCCTGTTCCTGTGGTCAGTCACATCCTGGCCTCTCTCAAGGGGGGGCGTGTTTTTGCAAAGCTTGACCTAGCTCAAGCATATCAACAGCTGCCTGTTGATGATGATGCTGCTATAGCTCAGACCATTGTGACCCACAGGGGAGACTTTAAGGTAAAGTCTGGAGTGAATGTCGCTCCTGGGATTTTCCAAAGCGTAATGGAAAACACACTACGAGGTATACCAGGGGTCTGCCCCTACTTTGACGATGTCTTGATTGCAGGAGACTCCACACACATTCTAGCTGAAAGGCTTAGGGCTGTCCTGTTAAGATTCAGGAAATCAGGCCTCAAGCTCAGAAAAGACAAATGCAAGATTGGGGTGCCTTCTACTGAATTTCTGGGATTCAAAATTGATGCTGCTGGGATTCATCCTGCTGAATCCAAACTAACTGCTATTTTAGAAGCACCCAGGCCAAAGTCTAAGGCCGAACTTCAGGCCTTCTTAGGCCTCCTGAATTTCTACAATTCTTTTCTTCCACATAAAGCTAGTGTAGCTGAGCCTCTTCACAGGCTACTAGACAAACAGGCTGTGTGGCTGTGGTCACAAGCACATGAGGCTTGCTTTAAAGAAGTCAAGGCCTTGCTCACTTCTAACAGTGTTCTTGCACATTTCAACGAGTCTCTTCCTTGTGCATCGCTTGTGATGCGTCCCCCTACGGGGTTGGAGCTGTCCTGAGTCACCTCAGGTCTGATGGAACTCAGGTTCCTATTGCATACTACTCCAGAACACTGTCTTCTGCCGAGCGCAACTACGCTCAGATAGACAGGGAGGCTCTGGCTGTTGTTGCTGGAATTAAAAAATTCCACGATTTTCTATATGGCAGGCATTTCACGGTCTTCACTGACCATAAGCCTCTGCTGGGACTGTTTACCACACGTAAGCAGACTCCCCACATCATTTCCCCTAGAATGCTTAGGTGGTCTATTTTTTGTCTGCATATGATTTTTCATTACTCCACAAGCCTGGGAAAGAAATGGGCCATGCTGATGGCCTCAGTAGGTTGCCTCTGCCAGTAGTAGAAGCTGACCCCGCGCCAGCTGTCAACATTCTATCAATCCAAGCCTTGCCCGAGCTCCCTCTTAGTGCCAGGGATGTTACCGCTGAAACAGGTACAGATCACACACTTTCACGTGTCCGCTCCTGGGTCCTGTCCGGGTGGCCTGAGCACTGCCCTAGTCCTGAGTTTCAGAGTTTCTGGTCCAAAAGGAACGAACTGTCCCTTTCTCAGGGTTGTCTGCTTTGGGGAAACAGAGTTGTCATTCCCACCTCAATGAGGACTAGGGTCTTAGAATCCCTCCACGAGGGTCATCCTGGCATTGTTCGTATGAAGGCTCTTGCACGCAGCCACTTGTGGTGGCCTGCTTTAGATAAAGATATTGAGGCTAAGGTACACGCATGCCACCTGTGCCAACGATCTCGCCCAGAGATGCCCCAAGCTCCTGTGCATAGATGGGAGGAAACACAGTCCCCATGGTCTAGGGTGCACATTGACTACGCTGGGCCCTTTCAGGGCCAGTTCTTCTTGGTCCTTGTTGACATCATTGTTGTCCTGACACCACGCAAAGACTATTCAGGTACTCAATTCACCTCCTCCGAATTCCAAGCTTTCTTACAGGCAAACCTGATTCGTCATGCCACGTCTGCGCCTTTTCACCCGTCCACCAACGGTATGGCTGAACGCATGGTGCGCATCGCAAAGGACGCCTTGAAGAGACTCACCTACGGGGACTGGCATCACAGGTTGGCTGACTTTCTCCTTTCTTATCGCACCACACCGTCCACTTCTACAGGGAGAAGTCCAGCTGAACTTCGTTGGGGGCGCCAACTTACTACTAGACTTGACCGGTTGCATCCGGACAGACTGCCTTCATCTACCTCACATCCTAGGGCACCTAGACAACTACTTGTGGGTGCCCCGGTTTGGGCTCGCAATTACGGGCCTGGTCCATGGGTCACACATGGGTCCTACGAGGTGTGTCCAGGATCACAGGTCCTCTCTCCTACGAGGTTGCCCTGGACAACGGTCGTGTCCTGCGTCGGCACATCGACCAACTTCGCTCTAGGCGAGACTTTTCTGCTGAGACTCCTGGGTCTTTTCCAGGGGGGGAGGGGGACCCTTTGGAGCAAAGGGAAGGGCAAGAGCTACTGCCCATCTCCACTGAGGGAGCCACAAACGGCCCATCCCAAGATTCCGCAATTGCTCCGAAAAGGAAGTCATGGAGCTTACCCACACAACAGGCACTCACGCCTACTCCAGCCAGGGAGTCACCCCGGGGGCATACTCACTTTCCACACACATCACACAGCACTCCAGCAACGGAGGATACCCGGGGGCATCCCAACAAATCATTCCCCGCAAGAGAGCTGGCACACAATTCCCAAGGTTGGCCTGACCTTACCCCAAATCCTACAGGGGGTCAAACATACACAGAGCTAGTCGAGGAACCAAGTCCCGACTACAACACCCCTAGCACAAATCAGGGAACACCTGAGTTTTGGGAAAGTACAGAAACCCACACGAGCCCGAGCACAGAATGGGGTTCAGGGAATGGACAGCCTCCTGACAGGTCTTGGACTGACCTAGGAGGTTCTACAGAGACGCCCAGCAGTGGCTATCACTTCAAGGGGCCTGAGGGTCTACAGCTAGGTAGGACAACCAGGTCACAAAGCAACAGAAGCCCTGGCCTGACGAGCCCGGTGGGCAAGCAA